GGAAGACTATCAAAATTACAATTGAATGATAAAATGAAATGTTTAATGCTTTTTCTTTTATCGAAAAATTCTCTTTTTCTCACTTTTTTAAATAATTCGCTCAAAAATAGTTGGCACAGACATGGTGTCTATTTAAATCTTGTAAAAAAATTCCTTCAAAATTCCTTGATCTTCCAAGCATTTTTATTCAAAATTGCAGGTAAAGAGAATATTTTAAAGATTTTTTGGTACAATTTTATAAAATAATTTTTTTTTTTTATTGTACGCGTTTTGTAATGCTTTTCATTCGTACAAGAAAAAATACAAACCACTTAAATTTCAAGCTATATTTACAAATGTACTGAAAAAAACTGAATAGCTTCCATCAAGATAAAAATTTTTAACTTGCAAAACCTTTTTATTTTTTATTACTAAAAATTAAAATAAAAAATATATACTGCATATTGAATATCTTATTAAGATATTGAATATATAAACAGAGATAGATATATATTTATAATATATTTTAAACATATAATTCATAACTTGTTAATTCATAGCTTGTTGGCGGATTGCTTATTACAGTATAAGAGCAAAATTATCAAAGAGAGATTTTTTAAAAAAATTCCCTGAGTCCCAATAAAATTCCATAAGAATTCCTTGATTTCTTCAGGTACAAAGAAATTTCCTGAGAATTCCAGGTTTTCCATGTTTTTATAGGGAGTAAACATCCTGCACAGACTTCTATGTATTATATCTAACAGCGATGTTACAGATGAAGCCAGGGCAACCATTTACAATTGGAATATATGTATATACTATATATAGGTTGGGTTAATATACACTGTATACAAACTTACATTCTTACACTTATTTATATATACACTATATGTATATACACTTCCATTCTGCCCAATTGTAAATGGCTGCCCTTGTTTCATATGTCACCACATGAGACATAGCCGTGTTAGCAGTATAGATATAATGTACAGAAGTCTGTAGTAGTTGGTCTTAAAACAAAAAGAGAATGTGTTGCAACTTGTACGGTATATCTCGATAATATCCATGTTGCAATGTTTTTCATTGATAAGAAACATAAGTAATCGAGCCTTTCAAAATATTAAAGCAGTAATATGCAGCGATTCTCGACCGCGAAAGCATCATATCATCAGCAATTCTATTCATAAATACTCGCTCGTGCCGGCATTCACGACGAAACGTCAAAAGCGCGTCCGCAAGTTGCACTTCTATCTTCTACTTGTAGAAGAAATATGTGTCATATACGTTATTTATAGTACAAAATTGAACAATTAGATTGGAAACGATAAAGATCTTGAACCGAAGAAGAGCAAAGTATATGCGTTAATGTTATACAATTTAAAATTTATTCGTGCAGTAATATTGTCATTTTATTAATTAACATATAGCTATTTTAATATTTTGTTTTTTATAAATATCAAATAATACTAATACCAGATAAACCAGATAATTTTTATGCTGTATTATATTTTTATAATTGTATGTTACCTGACAATTATCTGTGTCATTCGTCTTTTTTGTTTTCGACTCAGAATCAGTATATTAATAAACATTTCTTGGTAAATGTGATTTGGATTATATTTCTGATCCACATTGCTATGCTCTAAATAGCAATCTAAAATTAAATATGATTCTCTAGCATAGAGAAATGAAAATAGTATATGGATAATCAAGAGAGACCCACAGCCTAAAACGATCCAACAACATGGTTAATAATCGAATAATGCCAAATTTTTCATGGAAACCCCATCGAGAATGCAGCGCAACATAAACCAATAGAAAAATAAAAAAGAAAAGGGTCGTTTTTCCACGCGTATAAGAAGATCGGACGTAGAGGACGAGCGAGCGAGAGAGAGAAAGACTCGTTTTTAAATAAAAAAAAAAAAAAAAAAAAAAAAGAAAAGAAACGGGGCCAAGAGAGGAAAGAGAC